TGTTCTCCTCCTCCTTCCTTTTACACAATTTCCCACTACTCCTCGTTTTCCCTTTTATACCTCTCTCCCTCCCCCCCTTTCCTCCTCCAATCCCTTAGTTCCTTCCTTATCCGCTTCTTTTCTCTTACACATTCCTCATCCCACCATCCCTTTCTCCTCTCTTCCCCCCTTCCCAACTCCTCTTCCGTCTCCTTCAACGCCTGCTTTATCCTGCTCTCCAAATTGTCCCACTCCTCTCCCATCCCCTTCCCTCCTATCCGTGTTTTTCTCATTTTTCCGAAAACTTCTCTCTCCCTTCTCGATTCCATATCCCCCTTCTGCCCTTACCCTCTTCTTCCCTCCCTTTCCTCCTTTCCGCCTCTCGTCTTACCCATAACTGCACCGGATGGTGATCCGAGTCCACTCTGTCTCCTATCCTCATCTCCTCTATCCTATCCCTAATCTCCCCTTCCCCTATTATACAATTGATTACTGTATTTCCCCTCCCTCCTGTGAATGTGTACTCTCCCTCCCAGTCCCCTTTTATACTCCCATTAAAAATCCCCCCTTTTCTTTTCTCTATATATTCCACCAGCTTCTTCCCCTCTCCATTTATCTTCTTGTCTTTCGATCGCCTTTTTCCCATCTCCCCCTTTTCCTCCTCTTTTTCCCCTCTCACCCCTCCCCTCTCTCTACCCGTTCTTGCATTAAAATCCCCCCCTATTATCTTCCTTACTCTCCCCTCTTTATCCTTTATCCATTCCTCTATCCCCTGCAGCGTCCTTTCTATTCCTTCCCCCGCGTATACCCCTATTATCCTCCACCTTTTCCGACCTACTTTCATTCTTCCTACTACCATCCCTTCCTTTTCCACTTCTATTTTAGACCCCTTCTCCCACAATTCCTTTCTAATTTTCATCACCATTCCCCCTATCCCTCTCTTTTTTTTGCATTTCCTCTTCGCTAACTGTGCCCCCCACTTATATTCTTTTGGGAGCTTTTCTTTTATTTTACTCCATCCCTTCTCATCCATCCACGTCTCCAAGAGAATCATCACGTCCCACTCCTTTAGGCTCCTCCAAAATTTTATGTCCTTCTTTCCCATCCCCGCAACATTCCAGAACGTCACTTTCCACCCTATTTTTACTTTCTTCTGCCCTTCCCTTTCTTCTTCCCCCTCCTACCTCCTTTCCTCCTTCTTCTCTCCTCCTCCCTCTTCCCCTTGTCCCCCCTGTCTTATGTTTCTCTTCCCATCCCTTAGCACTTCCTCCTCCTCGTCTCACCTCCACCATTGTTCATCAATCCTAACCTTGCCATATCCTATCCACACCTTTCTCCCCTCCCTTTCCTCCTTCCGTGCTATTTCCACCAACCTCCATCTCATCCTTCTTTCCCCCCATGTCCAGTCTTCCATGATTCTTTTTTTCCTGCCCTTCAACATACCTTTCTTTGCCCACACTTCCCTTCTCTGCTCCTCGCTACTCAACTTAACCAAAAGCATTTTCCTTTCTTTTCCGCCCTCTTCTCCTAATCCCTTAATTTCTTTAACCTCCGCTTTCGCCCCCAAGGTTCTAAATATCTTCTCCACTGCCTCTTTCCTTTTCCCCTCCTTCACCTCTATCCCTTTTATCAATATATTTTTCCTCCTCTCCTCCCTCTCCTTCATCTCCATTCTTCTCTCTATTCTCTTTAGTCTGTCCTTCGTTTCCCCCTTGCTCTCTCTCTCCCCCCTCCTTCCCTCTTCTCCCTTTTCCGCCTTCCTCCCTTTCATTCTTTCCACTTTTTTTTTCAGGCCCTTGATACTTTTTTTCATGTCCTCCCTTTCCTCCATCCATCTCCTCTCCCTCTCTCTAAATTCCCCCTTATTTCC